CCATTAAAAAATTTAAATTTGATTTGTCAAATTAATTTCCATACTTTAGACAAAATAGGGTCCTCCAATTTCTTGTTGCCTCCATTCCCTAAAATACAATATCAAACTGAACTATTAGTACCAAGTATTTATAATATTTATTTCTACAAACCTTTCTCTGAAATTGCATATACAATATTGCTAGTCCGAACTGGAATGGCACTTAATCTATTAGTAACCCCCTCATTCTACAAATGAAGAGAGGGAACAGAAAACACTTTTATATACTTTTGATTTTCAATCAACATCCTCTGTGCATAATGAAGGATCTCAGGCTTAAATTTATGTTACGAGAAAGAGGTATGATTTTGCATTAAAAAATAGTTGCTATCCAGTCTTCATAAAATAGGTAACTTGTATCAACATCAATTGTACTTTGTATATTCTATACTGATAAATATTTGGTATATTGGAAGGATATCTTCTTTTTTCTTTTTTCCAGATATGGATCTCTGCATGAAATGTCCAGAAAATGAATATCCCAACAATATCCAAAATCAATGTATTCCCAAAGTGTTTACCTATCTTTCTTATAATGAACCTTTGGGAATCCTCTTTGTTACATTGGCTATTGTTTTCTCTTTGATTACACTCTTTGTGCTTGGAATATTTTGGAGGCACCAAGAGACTCCAATTGTCAAAGCCAATAACTGGAGCCTCACTTGTATCCTCCTCCTTTCCCTTCTTCTCTGCTTCCTCTGCTCCTTCTTCTTCCTGGGAAGACCTGAAAAGATGACCTGCCTTCTCCGGCAAATGACTTTTGGCATTATCTTCTCAGTAGCCCTTTCGTCTGTATTGGCAAAAACCATGACTGTGATTCTGGCATTTATGGCAACCAAACCAGGCTCCGGAATGAGGAAATGGGTAGGGAAAGGACTGGCCAATTCTATTGTCCTTTCAGGTTCCTTCATCCAGCTGGGAATTTGCACAATTTGGCTGAGTACCTCTCCCCCTTTCCCAGATACAGACCTGTACTCATTGAAGGGAGAAATCATAATGGAATGCAATGAGGGCTCAGTGATCATGTTTTACTGTGTCCTGGGTTACATGGGCTTCCTGGCTAATGTCAGCTTAAACATTGCTTTCCAAGCTAGGAAGCTGCCCAGCAGTTTCAATGAGGCCAAGTTCATCACTTTCAGCATGTTGGTCTTTTGTAGTGTTTGGCTGTCATTTGTTCCAACGTACCTGAGCACCAAAGGGAAATACATGGTAGCTGTGGAGATCTTTTCTATCTTATCCTCCAGTTCTGGTTTACTGAGCTGTATATTTTTCCCCAAATGCTATATCATTCTATTGAGGCCTGAGATGAACAAGAAGGAACATTTAATAAGGAAAGAAATTTAACTTTGTTTTTGTATTCATATTTAATGAAAGATCTTTAGAATATTAGTGATTTGTTTTTTGTTGAGATTTTTTTTCTATATCAATTTATTTTGAACAAATTTGGAAATATCTCCCTGACCCTGATTTAACTTTATTCATACACAAAATGTGATATGGGGAAAATAAGTTTTTAAAAGGAGACCTTTTTCAGGATGAAAGAATAGACATGTCCTATCTAGTTTAATGAATGATGATTACATGAATGAAAATTTTGATTAACATATGTCGAGATATTGATCAAATCTTAAACAGTTGCTATATACAAATATTGAATTTTAGTAGATTGTGTATGACCCCTTTGAATATTAAAGGATTAATGAGATAGTTTATGGGTAGTGTTCCTTCTTTGAGTATATATTAATTGGAAAATCTATGCCCTTTTTGCCATATAATATACACATTTTGAAATAAATTCTCAGTCCAAGCACTTGTATTAATTTTAACAAAATGATATATGCTCCTTAAACTAGTCTCAACTACTCCATTTGGAAAATGCTATGTTATATGCTTCTTACCAGAAAAGATGTTTGATACCTATATGGGAAAAATGAATAAACAAGTTGTGTGATTTATACATTCAACTTTGGGCGGCATCAGCCAATGAAAGCATGGTATTTTCCTGCTCAAATGCATACTAATTGGTCTTGTAGACAGTAAGTCTGGCTGGCAGACCAGGTGGTCTGCTAACCGTTCCTGCACAGCTCTCAGTAACCTGTTTCATAAATTCAACTCAATACATTACACCTATTATGTCCTGTCTTAGAGTTTGGGTGGGGTATGTGGATTTTAGGTATCTTGTCTTTTTAATCTTCTAGCTTCAACCTTCCTGAATGGTTTACATCTGCATTTCTACAGACCTGGTTTCTGCTTGGGGGAGGGATACTTGGCATTATTAAGAAAATTGGGCATGCTTTTCTGCCTCTCTAAGATCCTTTTAGAACATATATTTTTCTGCCCTTTTAATATTTCCTTCTCTGGGGGGCTGACTTCCCACAAGTGAATTGTCTCCTAACTCAAGTCCAGAGTTCAAGAGGCATGATGTGAAGTTCAAGATGCAGAATCAAGTCTGAGAATCAAGGCAAGAATCATGATGGCTGAAGAACACACAGCAAGGAAATGGACATGTTGTTCCCAGTGTTTCACTCCACTCTCTGAGCTAAATAACTGCTTCCCAATGTGATCCATCAAAAGAGGTGAAGCTATTGCCTCACAACTAGGCTGGCTGACCTTCATTACACCTGCCTCCTGTCAGTCCTATGAGCTCTTGGATCAGGAGGAGGAGGCAGTTCTTCTGCAGCTGCTTACTCTCTGCACCCAAAGCCTCTGGGTTTCCCAGGTGCAGCTGTGTCTCTTCTACCCTTAGCTCAGCTGGCTACATCTAGTTCAGTGGTTCTCAACCTTTTTAATGTATAAACCGGTCGTAAGTCGAGGACTAAACTGGTCGTAAGTCGAGGACTAAACCGGTCGTAAGTCGAGGACTAAACCGGTCGTAAGTCAAGGACTACCCAACCGGTCGTAAGTCGAGGACTTTCCCTGCCCGGGAGCGCTGCGCATGCGTGGTTCAGCCCCCTGCGCCAGCTGAGGCGTAGCTGGCAAGCGGCAGAGACGGAGCAGGCCGACCATCAGCTGGCCCAGCCCAAGGGAGGTAAGGCACCTGCCGGAAAAGGGGAAAAAAATGGCGGACAAAAAAAATGGCGGACAAAAAAAATGGCGGACAGCCTTGCTTGGCGACCCCCATGAAATGGTCGATCGACCCCAAATGGGGTCCCGACCCACAGGTTGAGAACCACTGATCTAGTTGCTCCACTGTGCTTGGCCCCTCTGTTCCTGGCTAAGAATCTCTGGCTACCTCTGGACATTCCTCAACATCTTCCCCCCCCCCAGCGTCCCTGGATCTGGTTCTTCTTTGTTCAAACTAATGTTCAGGAAAGTCATTGGAGAAAGAAAAACTATCCTTCTTATTTTCTCTTCCAGTACCTTTAATTAACGATTTAACTGGAACCCCAATAAGGGAATATTACACTGAATGTGGTTGATTGATTAATAGCAGTTCCCACCTGCTTCTTTCTCTCCCATATTTTGTTATATCTTGTATTTTTATTGAAATTTTAATTTGATTTTTATACATACATACATACATACATACATACATACATACATACATACATACATACATACATACATTTTGTAAGAAGCCCAGAGTCTCCTCACAGTAAGATTGGTGCCAAAAAAGTTTAATAAATGAAATAATAAAATAAATAATAATAATAATGTTGTTGTCTCCAGTAGTACATTGCCATGCAGGTCTGGCTAGTTTGTGTAATTTAATTAAAGTTTAAATATATTTGAATAGTTTTTAATACATGGTTATTCTGAATATTAAAGCATACTTCACTAGCTTGGTTAGCTATTTTTCTCAGGTAGGTATGAAAAAAAGTAATTCACACTACTTTGAAGGAATCTATGATTTAGCAAAATACTAAATTTACAGAGTTATCAGTACATCCTAAGATACTAATTAGATTGTACAGGGAATTCAAAAATTGTTTTCTTTTAAGATGAACCATTTTTAAATATTGATGATCTTTACATATGAAAAATGAACTTATCTCTTTTTTACACTTACATCTTTGACAAAATGAGCTGTCATTTTAGCTATTAAAAAGAGCAATATGCAAAGGACAGAACATCTTATAAATTTTACTAAGCCTCATAGCTGAAGTAATTTTAAATTTAATAATCTTCTACTCAAATTTCCATTGTTGTTTTTCAATTATTATATTTAAATTCAAGATCAATCTTTGAAAAATATAATATACTGGAGATCACAGCATTTCAATTATAGAACGGTGATAATTTCAATTTATTTTTTTATTTTTTATTTTTTTGTATGAGGCTATTCACAAGAATACCAGCATTGGTATCCTTAATATGAACAGCTACATGTAAATGCTTTGATTTTAGTATATATTATTAAAGTTCCGAAACAATGTTGTTCTCTAACAATCAAATTTATCCTTAATGTTTCATACTCATTTTTACATGTGCCATCAAAAACTTTATTTCAACATTTGCATATTATACTGCAACCAGGGCATTATATTCACATTAATCCCAATTCTAACTCAGCGCCTGGCCACACAACCTGTTCCTTTATTAAAAATATTTGAAAAACATATACATTTAAATATGCTCCAAAATGAATTTTTCCTTTATTATCAAATGGGACCATACATAGACTACTAAAGTTCCATAATTGTATCTAGTACCAATTTCACATTTGGGCAATATGTTCACCAACATTTACATTCGTATAATCATCATTCAAGCTAAACTGAATGGACACATACATTTTTTGATCTTAAAATTGCAATAAAGCTTTTTGAATTTTATAAAAAGAAAGAGAAATAAATTTTAGGAAGAATCTAAAGAAGAGACTAGACAGTCACTTGTCTGAAATGGTATAGGTTCTTCTGCCTGAGCAGGGGGCTGGACTAGAAGACCTCCAAGGTCCCTTCCAGCTCTATTCTATTCAATTCAATAAAGATGTTTAATTAAAGATGGACACAAAAAGACAGTTACTTTTCTTTCCTCATTAAATGTTCCTTCTTGTTCATCTCAGGCTTCAGTAAAATGATATAGCACTTGGGGGACAATATACATCCCAGTAAACCAGCACCGGAGGATAAAATAGAAAAGATCTCCACAGCTACCATGTATTTTCCTTTGGTGCTCAGGTAGGTTGGAACAAATGACAGCCAGACGCTGCAAAAGACTAACATGCTGAAAGTGATGAACTTGGCCTCATTGAACCTGCTGGGCAGCTTCCTGGCTTGGAAAGCAATATTAAAGCTCACACTAGCCAGGAAGCCCATGTAACCAAGGACACAGTAAAACATGATCACTGAGCCCTCATTGCATTCCATTATGATTTCTCCCTTCAGTGAGTGCAGGTCTGTATCTGGGAAAGGGGGAAAGATACTCAGCCAAATTGTGCAAATTCCCACCTGAATGAAGGAACCTGAAAGGACAATAGAATTGGTCAATCCTTTCCCTACCCATTTCTTCAATCCAGAGTCTGGTTTAGTTGCCATAAATGCCAAAATCACAGTCATGGTTTTTGCCAATACAGATGAAAGAGCCACTGAGAAGATAATGCCAAAAGTTGTTTGTCGAAGAAGACATGTAACCTTTTCAGGCCTTCCCATGAAGAGGAAGGAGCAGAGGAAGCAAAGAAGAAGGGAGATGAGGAGGATACAAGTGAGGCCCCAGTTATTGGCTTTGACAATTGGAGTCTCTTGGTGCCTCCAAAATATTCCAAGCACGAAGACTGTAATCAAAGAGAAAACAATAGACAATGTACTAAAGAGGATTCCCAAAGTTTCATTATAAGAGAGATAGTGTTCACCTTTGGGAATACATTGATTTTGGATATTGTTGGGACACTCATTTTCCAGACACTTCCTGCAGGCATCCATATCTGGAAAAAGAAAAAGAAAGATAAACTGTTATTAATATAGAATATATAGAGTACAATTGATGTTGCTGCCAGGATAGGTTCAAAATCCTAATTTTTAGTACAAAAATTGGCTCATAAATTAAAGGAAAGAGATGCAACAAGAGTAATGCTTCATAGCTGAACAATGGAAATAGCTTCCCTGTTCTTTCTTTTTTTTTCTAGTTGTTCAACATTGGAAGGACAAAAATATGGCCTTAGATTACTTAATTCATTTAAAACTTGATGTTTCCTTTAAATTCCCTCAAAATTCATTTATGCACTGCTGGTTCCATACAATATGTCATCTAAAACAACTTTGGTTCAAAACTTTAATTATATGTATGATGCATGAGCAGCAGATAGATACAGGAGAGCGTAAAAGAAAGAGTGGAGTGATTATCATGTTTTATTTGTTTTATTTTATTTTTTCGCTGTTGTTCATATTGTTCTACTTAAAGAAAAAAGGGCCCTGGGCTGATCAGTTAGCCAAAGTCCTAACCTCTTTTTATCCTACCTATTTTGTCAGAGATCTGCCCTTCTGGACATGGTGCACAATCATAGCAGCAAAATTTCACTCCTTCCTTCTTCTTTCTACTGGAGCCTGGATCACAGTGATCATTACAAAGAGAGACAGGCAGAACCTTAACAGAAATATATATGAGGGAATAAAATGATAAAACATCTGCATAAATAGAACTTTCTAAAACAAGAAATGCACATCTATGGTGAAGAAAATGAGAATTGGAAAACTTCAATTAACAGGAGGGAATTGGCAAAAAGTTTTGTTTTCACAGGATCTGAAAGTTATTTTTATTATTCCTACTGCTATTTCTGAAGATAAGAATATGAAAACATTATTATTAATAACAATAACAACAACAACAATAAAAAAGTTGAAAGGGATCTTGGAGGTCATCTAGTCCAATCTCTTGCTCAGGCACAAAACCCTATACCATTTCAGAAAAATGTCTGTCCAGTCTCTTCTTTAAAACTTCCAGTGTCGGAGCATTCACAGCTTCTGGAGGCAGGTTGTTCCACAGATTAATTGTTCTAACTATCAGGAAATTTCTCCTTAGTTCTAGGTTGCTTCTCTCTTTGGTTAGTTTCCATCTGTTGCTTCTTTTTCTGCTTTCAGGTGCTTTGGAGAATAGCTTGACTCCCTCTTCTATGTGGCAGCCCCTGAAATATTGGAATACTGTTATCATGTCACCCCTTGTCCTTCTCTTCATTAAACTACACATACCCAATTCCAGCAACCATTTCTTATATATCTAATCCTCCAGTCCCCTAATCATCTTTCTTGCTCTTCTCTGTACTCTTTCTAGAGTCTCAATATCTTTTTTACATTGTGGTGACCAAAACTGGATGCAGTATTCCAAGTGTGGCCTTACCAAGGCATTGTAAAGTGGTATTACGTGAATGTTAAGTTTCTATTTTTCAATAAGTAGCATGAATAGGGCACTAAAGGTTATTGATGAATTATGACCAGTCATTGAGGTCATAGGTCATGGCACCATGTGACTAGATTTGATTTTACAAATGGTTTTAACATGGCTGTAATGTGAGTCAGTGTAGGCATAAAGCAAATTAAGGAGAAACTTCCTAACATTGAGGACAACTAACCAGTGGAACAGCTTACATTCAGAAATCATGGGCACGCCATCTTTTTAAGAAGAGGTTGGACAGTCACTTGTCTGAAATGGTATAGGTTCTCCTGCTTGACTAGGGGGCTGGACTAGAAGATCTCCAAGGTCTCTTCCAGCTCTATTTTATTCTATCCAAATAACATGTTTCATAATTGACTCACAAGGTCAATAGCAAATCAGTTCTGCCAAATTGGTAAGTAGTTAAAAAAGGTCTGAAAATCATGGTCTTGTTACAGTTGATCACTGCAACTGATTGTAAAAGTGAACTCATTTGCCAAATGCTTGATCATGTGACTGCAGCGGAGCCAGCAGTTGTAACTCTGGAACGAACTACCCCCCGAGATCCGGACAATTCCGGATCTCCTATCTTTTCGCCGCGCCCTCAAGACATGGCTTTTTCAGCAAGCGGGTCTGGCCTAGGGAGAATTTTAAATAGGGACAATTTTAATTAGAATTTTAATGGTAACACAGCGGTAAATATTTGTTTTTAATTGGTTTTTATTGGGGATAGTGTTTGTATCGTTTTAATATGCTGCAAGCCGCCCTGAGTCCTGTTGGGAGAAGGGCGGCATATAAGTTTAATAAAATAAATAAAATTAAATAAATAAATAAATAACTTTAAGGATGAGATACAAGTATTTTTTTTCAATGTGTTTTAACTTCAGGAAAATGTTAAATGACTGATCATCAGTTAATAACTCCCTGTACCTACTGTACATTGACTTCTTTGTTTCCCAGGCAAAATTGGAAGCATTTCTCTCAACACATGTCATGGACACTTCAGTGCTCAAATGTACATATAGAAAACATTATACCTCATTATCTTGAAAAGCTTCAAAACACCAAAACATCATTTTCTTCAATTACTGCCATGTATTTGACAATTGCTCCAAAGAATTCTTTACTTTTGTTGTTAGTTGAGAATCTGCAGCTTCTTCTCACCTGGTTAAAGCTTCTGTGCCATACAATTTGATTGTCATTAAGAGTTAATTCTCTGCCTGGTGGAGCCCGAGGTTCCAGTGTTCCAATCTTGACTCGAGAAAAGGAATTATTGGGCAAAATAATCCAGTTTACAATATCAAAGCCCGTAATCAGTTCTCTGTTTTCATCAAAACTGATAGTGTCTCCCATACTGTTGTTGAATGTGATGCTTTTCAAAACATGGTGAAACTATTATATGAAAAAAGAAATAACAGCTAGAATTTGAAATCACAATAACTACAGAAAACTTTCAAACTAGATTATCCTGCTTTGAAAATTTAGGGTGTCATAGATGATATAGGTGTTTTTTATGTGCATGTGTTTGTGTTTTGCACAAGAAAGTCCTAAAATTAGCTTAGCAAGATTTCAGAGGAGATTTCCAATTGCCTCTGTCATGGAAAAACCTAATGAAAAAGACAAGAGACAGCAACACAAAACAATAATTCTTACTTTAAGATTCAGAGGTTTATTTTGCTAATAATTTGGAACACAGCAAACATAATAACACAACATCATTTACATTAATAACTCATTGCAATGAGGTCCAATGACATAGCAGTTCCAATAAGGACAGCTATAGACCAATGGCAAATCAATCAGGTCCAGTCCCAACTCTTTATACCTTTTCCCACCCTAAAACTGTAGACAGATGGTCAGCAATCTTACACCTTCTGCTGATTTTCTGCTGACTTTCTGCTGACTTCCTGCTGACCCTTTGCTGAACATAACTTTCTACATACTCGTGTACATTGCAACCCACATCCATCAGCAGCTTTCAGTTCCCTGTATCTGTTCTTGTCCTTATGTTCTAAATATATTTGAAACAAGCAAGCTTAGCAAAATCATATTAAGTAAAGTACAGTTGCAAACTGCAAAATTAAGCATAGCACAGACTTTGGTTCAATACTTTTCCTATGAGGCCTGATTTAGTTCACCTGGACCCAAATCTTGCATAGAAGAACAATAGCTAATATTTTCATTTTCCACACTTCCTTTCTAGGACTGAGAGACAATAATTGGGCCAAGATCACCAGCTGGCTTTGAGCCTTAGCGACTATACCAAACTGGCTCTCTTCATGGATGACCCATATTTGATAAGTACAGCCCTTTCTTTCAATACATAGAGATTGGATTCATGAATGTGCAATAATCTACCAGAGTGCAGGTCTAATCTACTATTTATTAACATGTTAAGACCCCTTTTAAAAATATTGAATGTATTACTATCTTCAAGGAGGAGATGTTTACTAGACAAAGTATTATAAGTGTTAGAACAAATATCTGTTGTAAGAATTATCAAGAGCATAAGGAAAATTTACTTACAGAGTTTGGCCTTATTAGCTCACCTACAGTTTGTTTTCTGTGTAGAATCTGAATGCACTAAATATTAGATACACAGAAAATGCTGCTCAAGTTCCATGATAAAGTGACCAATCCTCTTTGACACAGAACTATCATCTACTGTTACTAACACAACCTAAACTCGACAAGGAAACATGCTGGGATGAAACCCACAAATGGAACACACAGCTAGAGGGATTTAAATTGTTTAAAAGAAACAGACCAAACAAAAGAGGAGGTGGAGTTACTCTCTATATAAGAAATAACTACATCTCTACTGAAATAGAGCACAACAGTGATGAAAACTGTCTTGGGTGAATATATTTGGGTCAATATAAAAGGAGAAAAAATGACATTGCCATAGGTGTATACTATAGGCCACCCAACCAAACTTTTTGCTAGTCAGCTAACTAAGGTATGTAGGAAGCACATCACAATAGCAATGGGGGACTTTAATTAACCTGACATCAACTGGGAGACAAAATCTGCACCAAGTGGAAGATCAAACAGATTCCTGACAAACCTAGCAGACAACTTTGTATCCCAAAAAATAGAAAAGGGAACTAGGGGAATAGTCATATTGGATCTAATCCTCACTAACAGAGATGAAATGATAGAAGGTGTTGAAGCCACAGGAACCATGGGGGCAAGTGATCATGCAAAATTGGAATTCTAGAAGACAAGCATTAGAACACAGTCAAACTAGAGTCTTGGACTTTAAGAGAGCTAATTTCAACAAACGTAGAGGGAGCTTGGGAAGGATTCCATGGATGAGAATCCTCAAGAGGAAATCAACTCAAGAAGCTTGGGAAATGTTGAAAATAGAGATAATAAAAGCCCAGTTTAGCACAATACTTACAAAGAAGAAAAATAACAGCTCCCAAAAGAAACCAGCATGGCTGCATAAAGAACTCTCTGACAAATTGAAAGATAAAAAGGACAAGTATAAAAAGTGAAAAGAGGGGCACATAACTAAGGCAGAATATCAGCAAATAGCCTTTCTTGCAAAGATAATAATAATAATAATAATAATAATAATAATAATAATAATAATAATAATAATAATAATAATAATAATAATAATAATAATAATAATATCAAACAAGGAAAAATAGTGAGAACTGAAGGAATCAAGATGCCCCACAAAAATAACATTAAGAGTCTGGATGAGGAAGATTACTACAAATACTTGGGTATCCTTCAAGCTGACAACATCAAGCACACTGAAGTCAAGAAAAAGATCAGAGGTGAATACATCAAGAGAGTGAAGAAGATCTTAAAGTCCAAACTCAATGGAGGAAATACCATAAAGGCAATCAACACCTGGGCAATTCCAGTCATTAGATACACAGCTGGAATAGTGGACTGGACTCAAGCAGAACTAAAAGCAATGGATAGGAAGACCAGAAAAATAGTGACAATGAATCATGCTCTTCATCCACGAAGTGATATTGGCAGATTTTATCTACCAAAGCAAATAGGTGGGCGTGGAATGCTGCAAGTACATCAGATGGTTGAAGAAGAAAAAATGGCTTTGGAAGAATATCTGAAGGACAATGATGAAGATGCACTGAAATCAGTATATCAGGAAGGCTTACTGACTACTGGAGAGACCAAACTGGCCTGCAAGAAAGACCAAATGAAGAACAGAATAGAGGCATGGGAAGACAAAGCACTACATAGCCAGTACATAAAAAAAAAAATAGCTGGGAAAGCAGATAATAACAAGACCTGGCAATGGCTAAGAGCAGGAAAATTGAAGAAAGAGATCGAGGGACTAATTCTGGCTGCACAAGACCAAGCCTTAAGGACAAATACATATAAAGTCAAAATTGAAAAGACAGCAACAGACAGTAAGTGCCACTTATGCAAAGAAGCTGAAGAAACAGTGGACCACCTGGTAAGCTGTTGCAAGAAGATTGCACAGACTGACTACAAGCAGCGACATGACAAAGTAGCAACAATGGTGCATTGGAAAATCTGCAAGAAATATCATTTGCCTGTAAGCAAAAACTGGTGGGATCATAAAATAGAGAAAGTCATAGAAAATGATAAAATTAAACTGCTTGGGACTTCAGAATTCAAACAGACAAGCACCTGAAACATAACACCCCAGACTTAACAATTGTCGATAAGAAAGGCAAAAAAGTCTGGATAGTGGACGTGGCAGTGCCTGGAGACAGCAGAATAGACGAGAAAGAACTGGAGAAGATAACAAAATACAGAGACCTACAAATAGAAATAGAAAGACTGTGGCAAAAGCAAGCAAAGGTAGTACCAATAGTAATAGGCGCCTTGGG